TACCAAATGCTCTAAATTCAATGGAGTCAAATTCATTTGCGAGGATTTGAACACATACCGTGCCCTGTTGAGCGCATTAAAAAATGATGACACTGATCTACATACCCATCAGCTTCGCAGCGACCGTGGGTATAGGGTCGTCATTCGTCAGCTACATCACTCGACACCGACCGAGTGGATTAACAACAAATTACGCAGCCTCGGCTTTGGTGTCAGGAATGTCAACGTTATTAAGCACAATAGGACTCTCCAGCCTATGAACATCTTCGCTGTGGAGCTTCAGCCTACTATTGACAACTTTAATGACACGATCCTGTCTCTCACACTGCTGGGAAACCAGCGAGTTGTTGTGGAGAGACAACTGAGAAGACAGGATCCCGCTCAATGTCATCGCTGTCAACTATTTGGACACACAAAAAATTACTGCCGCCGCCCTTTTATCTGCATGAAGTGTGCGGGAGCGCATCCTTCCACGGCCTGCAGTGCGACGAGGATCGCCAATCCTAAGTGCGCCAATTGCGGAGGCAGCCATGTGTCCTGCTACAAAGGTTGCCCCAAATATAAAGAGGCTCGGGCAAAGCTTCTTATCAACAAACTGCGCTCGGAGCTGCCCACCTCCTCATCTGGGAGCGGCGGGCGCAGTGGTGCTAACACACGCTCTGGTCAGCAGCAGCAGCAGCAGCAGCATCAGCAGCAGCAGCAGCATCAGCAGCAGCAGCATCAGCAGCAGCAGCAGCATCAGCAGCAGCATCAGCAGCAGCAAAAACGGCAGCACCTACAGCAGCAGCAGCAGCAGCGTCAACATCAGCAGCAGCAGCAGCAGCAGTTAAAACAACAGCAGCAGCAAAAACAGCAGCAGCAGCTAAAACAGCAACAGCATCAGCAGCAGCAGCAGCAGCAGCAGCAGCAGCAGCAGCAGCTAAAACAACAACAACAGCAGGACCAGCAGCAAACTTCGCCACGGCTTCAATGTGGACCGGTGGATAATGCACCACGGCTACTTGCAGTTGAGGCAGGTCTAAATAGACTGCTGTTAATGGAACGCAAGGTAGATGCCCTTGTTAACCTGGTGCAAGCCTTTCTGTCCACTAAAGGGAGTGACCTTAGTTCGCTCATACAAGGACATAAAGCTAATTAAATAAAGAGTACAGACACCTCAAATTAATACAGCACAACAAGCTATCACAATTTCTACAATTTTATTACAATATAAACTTCATTATAAATTATAAAATCACAATATAAAAATTACATACTATAAACTACATAATACAACTATAAAACTACAACATAATTATAAAGAATATAAATATAATTATAACATATTAAAATATTAAAATACTAAAACATTAAAATAATATCCAGCGCGATTTCTGCCGCCTGCCGTTAACACTGCGAACTCTCGCCAATATTTGTTGAGGTGTCTGCATATTACTTGCAGTGGCTTCGCTGCTGCCTCCCAACGCTAAAACAAAATTAAATAAATTAAACAAACACGTTAATATGCTGTATGGGGACAATTAATGCCCCACTACTTACCGACGACTCCTGTATGATGCGGCGCTGCGGACTGCTCCAGATGCACTCCTGCTATTTCTGGATCTCTGGTGCTCCGTCCCTGCATCGTGATACGTTCGTCTGGTACTCCTGCTATTAAAACAAAATGCATGTTATTAGCTTTTGTTTATCTACAAAACACAAACTGCACTTACCTGTTCATCCATGGCTGACTCCTGATGCGGCTCTTCACGTCGAGGGAGGCTCTCCTTTGTGTCCTTCTTTGATGTTGCCTTGTCCGGGGGAGCCTGCAAAGATTAAGCGTATCATAGTTAATACTTTTATCATTATATATTCTATTTTAATAACTTAAATGTTTCGCTAATTGCAAACATCGTTTGTAAACATCGGCTGGCGTTGCCAGATGGCTTATTTAAACAGCTGTTTTTCTGGCTGCGGCCGGCGCCAACCTTTGTCACAGTGGCTAATTGTACTGTAAAAAATGTTATTTTTCAAAATTATTTTATATTTACTTTTTTTTTGTAAAATTTTTTTTTCATAAATTCTATTCATATTTGTCTAGTACGTAATGTAAGAACAAATAAAGAAAGGCTTTGCAGGCAACTTTTAGTTGTCTGTGAGCCCTTATTGTGCGAGCATCGCGAGCACCACACTGAAAAAAAAAAAAAAAAAAAAAAAAAAAAAAAAAAAAAAAAAAAAAAAAAAAAAAAAAAAAAAAAAAAAAAAAAAAAAAAAAAAAAAAAAAAAAAAAAAAAAAAAAAAAAAAAAAAAAAAAAAAAAAAAAAAAAAAAAAAAAAAAAAAAAAAAAAAAAAAAAAAAAAAAAAAAAAAAAAAAAAAAAAAAAAAAAAAAAAAAAAAATCATTAATAATAAATAGTTAAAACGGCGCATATAACATCACGCCATTTGTTTTTTCGGCGCAGACAACTCGCTATTAATTAAACAATTAAATCAGTGTTAATCGTTTTCTGTCCTCGTTTTGTGTTTCATTTATACGTGTTAGTGTTCGTCGGCTTTATTGCGGTAAAGCCTTATTTGTGAACTTTGATACGCATGTGCAATGAACTCTTTTCACCAATCGTGCCTGTAGTGTGTATGTGCTGCATACACGCATACTAGAGTGCAACGGTTCTGAACTTGGATAGCATCCACAACGATGGCCAATCAAAACAACTCTAAAGAGAGCGCCATTCCACCGGCACTCGCGCAAGCGCAATTCACTCTCTCGGATCTGCGAGCTCTCTTCTCAGCAGACTCATCACACGATGAGCAAGCAGTGCTGCTTCGCTCTTCGGCAAACTCACCATTTGATGAGCGAGCCGCGTCTGTGCAGTCATCGCTGAGAGCTAATTTCAACTCGCAATCTGTGGAGAGACTTGCAGCCAATGCAGCTACCACCGTTGTGCCCGCCAGCTCGGACACCGACGTCGATATTATGTTTGCTACAACAACTATAAATGCATCAACGTATGAGTCGACACAGCTCAACTTCTCCGAAATGCTGACCGATTTTTGTGGGAAAACGGACAGCACGCTGGAGCCTACTACTACAGCCCAGATGCTACAACAAGCTGCAGAAAAGTCGCTGACTGTCTGCCCTACTCCACGCACTGTAAGTGAACAACCCAAAGCTACTTATGCACAACAGCTGTTGTCCACTACAAGTGCGTGCTCTCCCAGCACAACAATTGTGCCAAAAACAGCTATTTCACAGGCCGCTAAGCGAAAGACAAAGCCGCCAGTTATTGGAGCAAAAATCAAATGCCCTGCACAGCGGGCTTTTGGCTCTTTAAGCTCCAACCGGCTAAAACGCAGATTCGCTGGATTGCCGAGGAAACCTTCTGCCGGTGCTAATCTTTACAGGCGGAGTGTTCCTTCTGAATCTTCTGAATCTGAATCCTCAGTAAGCTGCCCAAATTCCAGCGTGAAAATTGTGCAGCCGAAAGCTAATACTGACCGTGAGCAGAATGTTGCGGTTGAATCCCATATGAAGAGCAACCAGGCGACCTGCTCTGAGGTTAAAATTCCTGCTATTTTTGTGCATGACGTTATTGAAATCCAGCCATTGCTGGATAAAGTTAACAACATTCCGGGCATTGGCAAGTTCACTACCAAATGCTCTAAATTCAATGGAGTCAAATTCATTTGCGAGGATTTGAACACATACCGTGCCCTGTTGAGCGCATTAAAAAATGATGACACTGATCTACATACCCATCAGCTTCGCAGCGACCGTGGGTATAGGGTCGTCATTCGTCAGCTACATCACTCGACACCGACCGAGTGGATTAACAACAAATTACGCAGCCTCGGCTTTGGTGTCAGGAATGTCAACGTTATTAAGCACAATAGGACTCTCCAGCCTATGAACATCTTCGCTGTGGAGCTTCAGCCTACTATTGACAACTTTAATGACACGATCCTGTCTCTCACACTGCTGGGAAACCAGCGAGTTGTTGTGGAGAGACAACTGAGAAGACAGGATCCCGCTCAATGTCATCGCTGTCAACTATTTGGACACACAAAAAATTACTGCCGCCGCCCTTTTATCTGCATGAAGTGTGCGGGAGCGCATCCTTCCACGGCCTGCAGTGCGACGAGGATCGCCAATCCTAAGTGCGCCAATTGCGGAGGCAGCCATGTGTCCTGCTACAAAGGTTGCCCCAAATATAAAGAGGCTCGGGCAAAGCTTCTTATCAACAAACTGCGCTCGGAGCTGCCCACCTCCTCATCTGGGAGCGGCGGGCGCAGTGGCGCTAACACACGCTCTGGTCAGCAGCAGCAGCAGCATCAGCAGCATCAGCAGCAGCAGCATCAGCAGCAGCAGCATCAGCAGCAGCAGCAGCATCAGCAGCAGCATCAGCAGCAGCAAAAACGGCAGCACCTACAGCAGCAGCAGCAGCAGCGTCAACATCAGCAGCAGCAGCAGCAGCAGTTAAAACAACAGCAGCAGCAAAAACAGCAGCAGCAGCTAAAACAGCAACAACAGCAGCAGCAGCTAAAACGCACAGCAGCAGCAGCAGCAGCAGCAGCAGCTAAAACAACAACAACAGCAGGATCAGCAGCAAACTTCGCCACGGCCTCAATGTGGCCCGGTGGATAATGCACCACGGCTACTTGCAGTTGAGGCAGGTCTAAATAGACTGCTGTTAATGGAACGCAAGGTAGATGCCCTTGTTAACCTGGTGCAAGCCTTTCTGTCCACTAAAGGGAGTGACCTTAGTTCGCTCATACAAGGACATAAAGCTAATTAAATAAAAATACAGACACCTCAAATTAATACAGCACAACAAGCTATCACAATTTCTACAATTTTATTACAATATAAACTTCATTATAAATTATAAAATCACAATATAAAAATTACATACTATAAACTACATAATACAACTATAAAACTACAACATAATTATAAAGAATATAAATATAATTATAACATATTAAAATATTAAAATACTAAAACATTAAAATAATATCCAGCGCGATTTCTGCCGCCTGCCGTTAACACTGCGAACTCTCGCTAATATTTGTTGAGGTGTCTGCGTATTACTTGCAGTGGCTTCGCTGCTGCCTCCCAACGCTAAAACAAAATTAAATAAATTAAACAAACACGCTACTATGCTGTATGGGGACAATTAATGCCTCACTACTTACCGACGACTCCTGTATGATGCGGCGCTGCGGACTGCTCCAGATGCACTCCTGCTATTTCTGGATCTCTGGTGCTCCGTCCCTGCATCGTGATACGTTCGTCTGGTACTCCTGCTATTAAAACAAAATGCATGTTATTAGCTTTTGTTTATCTACAAAACACAAACTGCACTTACCTGTTCATCCATGGCTGACTCCTGATGCGGCTCTTCACGTCGAGGGAGGCTCTTCTTTGTGTCCTTCTCTGATGTTGGCCTGCTGTCCGGGGGAGCCTGTAAAGATTAAGCGTATCATAGTTATTACTTTTTATCATTTTGTACTTTAATTCATTAACTTTAATGTTTCACTATTCGCAAACATCGTTTGTAAACATCGGCTGGCGTTGCCAGATGGCTTATTTAAACAGCTGTTTTTCTGGCTGCGGCCGGCGCCAACCTTTGTCACAGTGGCTAATTGTACTGTAAAAAATGTTATTTTTCAAAATTATTTTATATTTACTTTTTTTTTGTAAAATTTTTTTTCATAAATTCTATTCATATTTGTCTAGTACGTAATGTAAGAACAAATAAAGAAAGGCTTTGCAGGCAACTTTTAGTTGTCTGTGAGCCCTTATTGTGCGAGCATCGCGAGCACCACACTAAAAAAAAAAAAAAAAAAAAGGCGCATATAACATCACGCCATTTGTTTTTTCGCCGAAAAAAACCCCTTATTAATAAAAAAAAAAAAAAATTTTTAATTTTTTTTTTTCTTTTTTTTTTTTTTTTTTTAAATTTTTATTTTTTTTGGGTTTTTTTTGGTAAAAACTTTTTTTGTGAACTTTGATACGCATGTGCAATGAACTCTTTTCACCAATCGTGCCTGTAGTGTGTATGTGCTGCATACACGCATACTAGAGTGCAACGGTTCTGAACTTGGATAGCATCCACAACGATGGCCAATCAAAACAACTCTAAAGAGAGCGCCATTCCACCGGCACTCGCGCAAGCGCAATTCACTCTCTCGGATCTGCGAGCTCTCTTCTCAGCAGACTCATCACACGATGAGCAAGCAGTGCTGCTTCGCTCTTCGGCAAACTCACCATTTGATGAGCGAGCCGCGTCTGTGCAGTCATCGCTGAGAGCTAATTTCAACTCGCAATCTGTGGAGAGACTTGCAGCCAATGCAGCTACCACCGTTGTGCCCGCCAGCTCGGACACCGACGTCGATATTATGTTTGCTACAACAACTATAAATGCATCAACGTATGAGTCGACACAGCTCAACTTCTCCGAAATGCTGACCGATTTTTGTGGGAAAACGGACAGCACGCTGGAGCCTACTACTACAGCCCAGATGCTACAACAAGCTGCAGAAAAGTCGCTGACTGTCTGCCCTACTCCACGCACTGTAAGTGAACAACCCAAAGCTACTTATGCACAACAGCTGTTGTCCACTACAAGTGCGTGCTCTCCCAGCACAACAATTGTGCCAAAAACAGCTATTTCACAGGCCGCTAAGCGAAAGACAAAGCCGCCAGTTATTGGAGCAAAAATCAAATGCCCTGCACAGCGGGCTTTTGGCTCTTTAAGCTCCAACCGGCTAAAACGCAGATTCGCTGGATTGCCGAGGAAACCTTCTGCCGGTGCTAATCTTTACAGGCGGAGTGTTCCTTCTGAATCTTCTGAATCTGAATCCTCAGTAAGCTGCCCAAATTCCAGCGTGAAAATTGTGCAGCCGAAAGCTAATACTGACCGTGAGCAGAATGTTGCGGTTGAATCCCATATGAAGAGCAACCAGGCGACCTGCTCTGAGGTTAAAATTCCTGCTATTTTTGTGCACGACGTTATTGAAATCCAGCCATTGCTGGATAAAGTTAACAACATTCCGGGCATTGGCAAGTTCACTACCAAATGCTCTAAATTCAATGGAGTCAAATTCATTTGCGAGGATTTGAACACATACCGTGCCCTGTTGAGCGCATTAAAAAATGATGACACTGATCTACATACCCATCAGCTTCGCAGCGACCGTGGGTATAGGGTCGTCATTCGTCAGCTACATCACTCGACACCGACCGAGTGGATTAACAACAAATTACGCAGCCTCGGCTTTGGTGTCAGGAATGTCAACGTTATTAAGCACAATAGGACTCTCCAGCCTATGAACATCTTCGCCGTGGAGCTTCAGCCTACTATTGACAACTTTAATGACACGATCCTGTCTCTCACACTGCTGGGAAACCAGCGAGTTGTAGTGGAGAGACAACTGAGAAGACAGGATCCCGCTCAATGTCATCGCTGTCAACTATTTGGACACACAAAAAATTACTGCCGCCGCCCTTTTATCTGCATGAAGTGTGCGGGAGCGCATCCTTCCACGGCCTGCAGTGCGACGAGGATCGCCAATCCTAAGTGCGCCAATTGCGGAGGCAGCCATGTGTCCTGCTACAAAGGTTGCCCCAAATATAAAGAGGCTCGGGCAAAGCTTCTTATCAACAAACTGCGCTCGGAGCTGCCCACCTCCTCATCTGGGAGCGGCGGGCGCAGTGGCGCTAACACACGCTCTGGTCAGCAGCAGCAGCAGCAGCAGCAGCAGCAGCAGCAGCAGCAGCATCAGCAGCAGCAGCAGCAGCAGCGGCAGCATCAGCAGCAGCAGCATCAGCAGCAGCAAAAACGGCAGCACCTACAGCAGCAGCAGCAGCAGCAGCAGCAGCAGCGTCAACATCAGCAGCAGCAGCAGCAGCAGTTAAAACAACAGCAGCATCAGCAGCAGCAAAAACAGCAGCAGCAGCAGCAGCAGCAGTTAAAACAACAGCAGCAGCAGCTAAAACAGCAGCAGCAGCAGCAGCAGCAGCAGCTAAAACAACAACAACAGCAGGATCAGCAGCAAACTTCGCCACGGCTTCAATGTGGCCCGGTGGATAATGCACCACGGCTACTTGCAGTTGAGGCAGGTCTAAATAGACTGCTGTTAATGGAACGCAAGGTAGATGCCCTTGTTAACCTGGTGCAAGCCTTTCTGTCCACTAAAGGGAGTGACCTTAGTTCGCTCATACAAGGACATAAAGCTAATTAAATAAAAAATACAGACACCTCAAATTAATACAGCACAACAAGCTATCACAATTTCTACAATTTTTATTACAATATAAACTTCATTATAAATCATAAAATCACAATATAAAAATTACATACTATAAACTACATAATACAACTATAAAACTACAACATAATTATAAAGAATATAAATATAATTATAACATATTAAAATATTTAAATACTAAAACATTAAAATAATATCCAGCGCGATTTCTGCCGCCTGCCGCTAACACAACGCACTCCCGCTAAAGTTGATTGAGGTGTCTGACTATTAACTGCAGCGGCTCCGCTGTTGCAAACCAATCCTAAAACAAAATTAAACAAACACGTTACTATGATGTATGGGGACAATTAATGCCTCACTACTTACCGACGACTCCTGTATGATGCGGCGCTGCGGACTGCTCCAGATGCACTCCTGCTATTTTCTGGATCTCTGGTGCTCCGTCCCTGCATCGTGATACGTTCGTCTGGGTACTCCTGCTATTAAAACAAAATGCTTGTTATTAGCTTTTGTTTATCTACAAAACACAAACTGCACTTACCTGTTCATCCATGGCTGACTCCTGATGCGGCTCTTCACGTCGAGGGAGGCTCTCCTTTGTATCCTTCTTTGATGTTGCCTTGTCCGGGGGAGCCTGCAAAGATTAAGCGTATCATAGTTAATACTTTTATCAATTTATATTATATTTTAATAACTTAAATGTTTCGCTAATTGCAAACATCGTTTGTAAACATCGGCTGGCGTTGCCAGATGGCTTATTTAAACAGCTGTTTTTCTGGCTGCAGCCGGCGCCAACCTTTGTCACAGTGGCTAATTGTACTGTAAAAAATGTTATTTTTCAAAATTATTTTATATTTACTTTTTTTTTGTAAAATTTTTTTTCATAAATTCTTTTCATATTTGTCTAGTACGTAATGTAAGAACAAATAAAGAAAGGCTTTGCAGGCAACTTTTAGTTGTCTGTGAGCCCTTATTGTGCGAGCATCGCGAGCACCACACTGAAAAAAATCGCTGAGAGCTAATTTCAACTCGCAGTCTGTGGAGAGTTTTGCAGCTAATTCAGCAACCACCGTTGTCCCCGCTGGCTCGGACATCGCCGTGGAGAGACTTGCAGCCAATACAGCTACCACCGTTGTGCCCGCCAGCTCGGACACCGACGTCGATATTATGTTTGCTACAACAACTATAAATGCATCAACGTATGAGTCGACACAGCTCAACTTCTCCGAAATGCTGACCGATTTTTGTGGGAAAACGGACAGCACGCTGGAGCCTACTACTACAGCCCAGATGCTACAACAAGCTGCAGAAAAGTCGCTGACTGTCTGCCCTACTCCACGCACTGTAAGTGAACAACCCAAAGCTACTTATGCACAACAGCTGTTGTCCACTACAAGTGCGTGCTCTCCCAGCACAACAATTGTGCCAAAAACAGCTATTGCACAGGCCGCTAAGCGAAAGACAAAGCCGCCAGTTATTGGAGCAAAAATCAAATGCCCTGCACAGCGGGCTTTTGGCTCTTTAAGCTCCAACCGGCTAAAACGCAGATTCGCTGGATTGCCGAGGAAACCTTCTGCCGGTGCTAATCTTTACAGGCGGAGTGTTCCTTCTGAATCTTCTGAATCTGAATCCTTAGTAAGCTGCCCAAATTCCAGCGTGAAAATTGTGCAGCCGAAAGCTATTACCGACCGTGAGCAGAATGTTGTGGTTGAATCCCATATGAAGAGCAACCAGGCGACCTGCTCTGAGGTTAAAATTCCTGCTATTTTTGTGCACGACGTTATTGAAATCCAGCCATTGCTGGATAAAGCTAACAGCATTCCGGGCATCGGCAAGTTCACTACCAAATGCTCTAACTCCAATGGAGTGAAATTCATTTGCGAGGATTTGAACACATACCGTGCCCTGTTGAGCGCATTAAAAAATGATGACACTGATCTACATACCCATCAGCTTCGCAGCGACCGTGGGTATAGGGTCGTCATTCGTCAGCTACATCACTCGACACCGACCGAGTGGATTAACAACAAATTACGCAGCCTCGGCTTTGGTGTCAGGAATGTCAACGTTATTAAGCACAATAGGACTCTCCAGCCTATGAACATCTTCGCCGTGGAGCTTCAGCCTACTATTGACAACTCTAACGACGGGATCCTGTCTCTCACACTGCTGGGAAACCAGCGAGTTGTAGTGGAGAGACAACTGAGAATACAGGATCCCGCTCAATGTCATCGCTGCCAGCTATTTGGACACACAAAAAATTACTGCCGCCGCCCTTTTATCTGCATGAAGTGTGCGGGAGCGCATCCTTCCACGGCCTGCAGCGCGACGAGGATCGCCAATCCTAAGTGCGCCAATTGCGGAGGCAGCCATGTGTCCTGCTACAAAGGTTGCCCTAAATATAAGGAGGCTCGGGCAAAGCTTCTCTACAACAAACTGCGCTCGGAGCTGCCCAGCTCCTCATCTGGGAGCGGCGGGCGCAGTGGCGCTAACACACGCTCTGGTCAGCAGCAGCAGCAGCAGCAGCAGCAGCAGCAGCAGCGGCAGCAGCAGCAGCAGCAGCAGCAGCAGCAGCAGCAGCAGCAGCAGCAGCAGCAGCAGCAGCAGCAGCAGCAGCAGCAGCAGCAGCAGCAGCAGCAGCAGCAGCAGCATCAGCAGCAGCAGCAGCAGCAGTTAAAACAACAGCAGCAGCAACAGCAGCAGCAGCAGCTAAAACAGCAGCAACAGCAGCAGCAGCAGCAGCAGCAGCAGCAGCAGCAGCAGCAGCAGCAGCAGCAGCTAAAACAACAACAACAGCAGGACCAGCAGCAAACTTCGCCACGGCTTCAATGTGGACCGGTGGATAATGCACCACGGCCACTAGCAGTTGAGGCAAGCCTAAATAGACTGCTGTTAATGGAACGTAAGGTTGATGCCCTTGTTAATCTGGTGCACGCCCTTGTGTCCACTAAAGGGAGTGACCTTAGTTCGCTCATACAAGGACATAAAGCTAATTAAATAAAAATACAGACACCTCAAATTAATACAGCACAACAAGCTATCACAATTTCTACAATTTTTATTACAATATAAACTTCATTATAAATTATAAAATCACAATATAAAAATTACATACTATAAACTACATAATACAACTATAAAACTACAACATAATTATAAAGAATATAAATATAATTATAACATATTAAAATATTAAAATACTAAAACATTAAAATAATATCCAGCGGCGAATTTCTGCCGCCTGCCGTTAACACTGCGAACTCTCGCTAATATTTATTGAGGTGTCTGCCTATTACTTGCAGTGGCTTCGCTGCTGCCTCCCAATGCTAAAACAAAACTAAATAAATTAAACAAACACGCTACTATGCTGTATGGGGACAATTAATGCCTCACTACTTACCGACGACTCCTGTATGATGCGGCGCTGCGGACTGCTCCAGATGCACTCCTGCTATTTCTGGATCTCTGGTGCTCCGTCCCTGCATCGTGATACGTTCGTCTGGTACTCCTGCTATTAAAACAAAATGCATGTTATTAGCTTTTGTTTATCTACAAAACACAAACTGCACTTACCTGTTCATCCATGGCTGACTCCTGATGCGGCTCTTCACGTCGAGGGAGGCTCTTCTTTGTGTCCTTCTCTGATGTTGGCCTGTTGTCCGGGGGAGCCTGTAAAGATTAAGCGTATCAAGTTATTACTTTTTATCATTTTGTACTTTAATTCATTAATTTAATGTTCACTATTCGCAAACATCGTTTGTAAACATCGGCTGGCGTTGCCAGATGGCTGATTTAATCAGCTGTTTTTCTGGCTGCGGCTGGCGCCAACCTTTGTCACAGTGGCTAATTGTACTGTAAAAAATGTTATTTTTAAAATTATTTTATATTTACTTTTTTTTTGTAAAATTTTTTTTCATAAATTCTTTTCATATTTGTCTAGTACGTAATGTAAGAACAAATAAAGAAAGGCTTTGCAGGCAACTTTTAGTTGTCTGTGAGCCCTTATTGTGCGAGCATCGCGAGCACCACACTGAAAAAAAAAAAAAAAAAAAAAAAAAAACCACACTGAAAAAAAAAAAAAAAAAAAAACCACACTGAAAAAAAACCACACTGAAAAAAAAAAAAAAAAAAAAAAAAAAGTTAAAAAACTGAAAAAAAGTGTAAAAAGTTTAAAAAGTTACAACAACATTTTAGCAACAATTTGCCAAAGTTAAAATGTTTAAACAATAAATATATGCCAAGCAACCAAGCGGCAGCATCATTAATAATAAATAGTTAAAACGGCGCATATAACATCACGCCATTTGTTTTTTCGGCGCAGACAACTCGCTATTAATTAAACAATTAAATCAGTGTTAATCGTTTTCTGTCCTCGTTTTGTGTTTCATTTATACGTGTTAGTGTTCGTCGGCTTTATTGCGGTAAAGCCTTATTTGTGAACTTTGATACGCATGTGCAATGAACTCTTTTCACCAATCGTGCCTGTAGTGTGTATGTGCTGCATACACGCATACTAGAGTGCAACGGTTCTGAACTTGGATAGCATCCACAACGATGGCCAATCAAAACAACTCTAAAGAGAGCGCCATTCCACCGGCACTCGCGCAAGCGCAATTCACTCTCTCGGATCTGCGAGCTCTCTTCTCAGCAGACTCATCACACGATGAGCAAGCAGTGCTGCTTCGCTCTTCGGCAAACTCACCATTTGATGAGCGAGCCGCGTCTGTGCAGTCATCGCTGAGAGCTAATTTCAACTCGCAATCTGTGGAGAGACTTGCAGCCAATGCAGCTACCACCGTTGTGCCCGCCAGCTCGGACACCGACGTCGATATTATGTTTGCTACAACAACTATAAATGCATCAACGTATGAGTCGACACAGCTCAACTTCTCCGAAATGCTGACCGATTTTTGTGGGAAAACGGACAGCACGCTGGAGCCTACTACTACAGCCCAGATGCTACAACAAGCTGCAGAAAAGTCGCTGACTGTCTGCCCTACTCCACGCACTGTAAGTGAACAACCCAAAGCTACTTATGCACAACAGCTGTTGTCCACTACAAGTGCGTGCTCTCCCAGCACAACAATTGTGCCAAAAACAGCTATTTCACAGGCCGCTAAGCGAAAGACAAAGCCGCCAGTTATTGGAGCAAAAATCAAATGCCCTGCACAGCGGGCTTTTGGCTCTTTAAGCTCCAACCGGCTAAAACGCAGATTCGCTGGATTGCCGAGGAAACCTTCTGCCGGTGCTAATCTTTACAGGCGGAGTGTTCCTTCTGAATCTTCTGAATCTGAATCCTCAGTAAGCTGCCCAAATTCCAGCGTGAAAATTGTGCAGCCGAAAGCTAATACTGACCGTGAGCAGAATGTTGCGGTTGAATCCCATATGAAGAGCAACCAGGCGACCTGCTCTGAGGTTAAAATTCCTGCTATTTTTGTGCACGACGTTATTGAAATCCAGCCATTGCTGGATAAAGCTAACAGCATTCCGGGCATCGGCAAGTTCACTACCATATGCTCTAACTCCAATGGAGTGAAATTCATTTGCGAGGATTTGAACACATACCGTGCCCTGTTGAGCGCATTAAAAAATGATGACACTGATCTACATACCCATCAGCTTCGCAGCGACCGTGGGTATAGGGTCGTCATTCGCCAGCTACATCACTCGACACCGACCGAGTGGATAAACAACACATTACGCAGCCTCGGCTTTGGTGTCAGGAATGTCAACGTTATTAAGCACAATAGGACTCTCCAGCCTATGAACATCTTCGCCGTGGAGCTTCAGCCTACTATTGACAACTTTAATGACACGATCCTGTCTCTCACACTGCTGGGAAACCAGCGAGTTGTTGTGGAGAGACAACTGAGAAGACAGGATCCCGCTCAATGTCATCGCTGTCAACTATTTGGACACACAAAAAATTACTGCCGCCGCCCTTTTATCTGCATGAAGTGTGCGGGAGCGCATCCTTCCACGGCCTGCAGTGCGACGAGGATCGCCAATCCTAAGTGCGCCAATTGCGGAGGCAGCCATGTGTCCTGCTACAAAGGTTGCCCCAAATATAAAGAGGCTCGGGCAAAGCTTCTTATCAACAAACTGCGCTCGGAGCTGCCCACCTCCTCATCTGGGAGCGGCGGGCGCAGTGGCGCTAACACACGCTCTGGTCAGCAGCAGCAGCAGCAGCAGCAGCAGCAGCAGCAGCAGCAGCAGCAGCAGCATCAGCAGCAGCAGCATCAGCAGCAGCAGCAGCAGCAGCAGCAGCATCAGCAGCAGCAAAAACGGCAGCACCAACAGCAGCAGCAGCAGCAGCGTCAACATCAGCAGCAGCAGCAGCAGCAGTTAAAACAACAGCAGCAGCAAAAACAGCAGCAGCAGCTAAAACAGCAACAACAGCAGCAGCAGCTAAAACAGCAGCAGCAGCAGCAGCAGCAGCAGCTAAAACAACAACAACAGCAGGATCAGCAGCAAACTTCGCCACGGCCTCAATGTGGCCCGGTGGATAATGCACCACGGCTACTTGCAGTTGAGGCAGGTCTAAATAGACTGCTGTTAATGGAACGCAAGGTAGATGCCCTTGTTAATCTGGTGCAAGCCTTTCTGTCCACTAAAGGGAATGACCTTAGTTCGCTCATACAAGGACATAAAGCTAATTAAAATAAAAATACAGACACCTCAAATTAATACAGCACAACAAGCTATCACAATTTCTACAATTTTTATTACAATATAAACTTCATTATAAATTATAAAATCACAATATAAAAATTACATACTATAAACTACATAATACAACTATAAAACTACAACATAATTATAAAGAATATAAATATAATTATAACATATTAAAATATTAAAATACTAAAACATTAAAATAATATCCAGCGCGATTTCTGCCGCCTGCCGTTAACACTGCGAACTCTCGCCAATATTTGTTGAGGTGTCTGCCTATTACCTTGCAGTGGCTTCGCTGCTGCCTCCCAACGCTAAAACAAAATTAAATAAATTAAACAAACACGATACTATGCTACATGGGGACAATTAATGCCTCACTACTTACCGACGACTCCTGTATGATGCGGCGCTGCGGACTGCTCCAGATGCACTCCTGCTATTTTTGGATTTCTGGTGCTCCGTCCCTGCATCGTGATACGTTCGTCTGGTACTCCTGCTATTAAAACAAAATGCATGTTATTAGCTTTTGTTTATCTACAAAACACAAACTGCACTTACCTGTTCATCCATGGCTGACTCCTGATGCGGCTCTTCACGTCGAGGGAGGCTCTTCTTTGTGTCCTTCTCTGATGTTGGCCTGCTGTCCGGGGGAGCCTGTAAAGATTAAGCGTATCAAGTTATTACTTTTTATCATTTTGTACTTTAATTCATTAATTTAATGTTCACTATTCGCAAACATCGTTTGTAAACATCGGCTGGCGTTGCCAGATGGCTGATTTAATCAGCTGTTTTTCTGGCTGCGGCTGGCGCCAACCTTTGTCACAGTGGCTAATTGTACTGTAAAAAATGTTATTTTTAAAATTATTTTATATTTACTTTTTTTTTGTAAATATTTTTTTTCATAAATTCTTTTCATATTTGTCTAGTACGTAATGTAAGAACAAATAAAGAAAGGCTTTGCAGGCAACTTTTAGTTGTCTGTGAGCCCTTATTGTGCGAGCATCGCGAGCACCACACTGAAAAAAAAAAAACCACACTGAAAAAAAAAAAACCACACTGAAAAAAAAAAAAAAAAAAAAAAACCACACTGAAAAAAAAAGTGTAAAAAGTTTAAAAAGTTACAACAACATTTTAGCAACAATTTGCCAAAGTTAAAATGTTTAAACAATAAATATATGCCAAGCAACCAAGCGGCAGCATCATTAATAATAAATAGTTAAAACGGCGCATATAACATCACGCCATTTGTTTTTTCGGCGCAGACAACTCGCTATTAATTAAACAATTAAATCAGTGTTAATCGTTTTCTGTCCTCGTTTTGTGTTTCATTTATACGTGTTAGTGTTCGTCGGCTTTATTGCGGTAAAGCCTTATTTGTGAACTTTGATACGCATGTGCAATGAACTCTTTTCACCAATCGTGCCTGTAGTGTGTATGTGCTGCATACACGCATACTAGAGTGCAACGGTTCTGAACTTGGATAGCATCCACAACGATGGCCAATCAAAACAACTCTAAAGAGAGCGCCATTCCACCGGCACTCGCGCAAGCGCAATTCACTCTCTCGGATCTGCGAGCTCTCTTCTCAGCAGACTCATCACACGATGAGCAAGCAGTGCTGCTTCGCTCTTCGGCAAACTCACCATTTGATGAGCGAGCCGCGTCTGTGCAGTCATCGCTGAGAGCTAATTTCAACTCGCAATCTGTGGAGAGACTTGCAGCCAATGCAGCTACCACCGTTGTGCCCGCCAGCTCGGACACCGACGTCGATATTATGTTTGCTACAACAACTATAAATGCATCAACGTATGAGTCGACACAGCTCAACTTCTCCGAAATGCTGACCGATTTTTGTGGGAAAACGGACAGCACGCTGGAGCCTACTACTACAGCCCAGATGCTACAACAAGCTGCAGAAAAGTCGCTGACTGTCTGCCCTACTCCACGCACTGTAAGTGAACAACCCAAAGCTACTTATGCACAACAGCTGTTGTCCACTACAAGTGCGTGCTCTCCCAGCACAACAATTGTGCCAAAAACAGCTATTTCACAGGCCGCTAAGCGAAAGACAAAGCCGCCAGTTATTGGAGCAAAAATCAAATGCCCTGCACAGCGGGCTTTTGGCTCTTTAAGCTCCAACCGGCTAAAACGCAGATTCGCTGGATTGCCGAGGAAACCTTCTGCCGGTGCTAATCTTTACAGGCGGAGTGTTCCTTCTGAATCTTCTGAATCTGAATCCTTAGTAAGCTGCCCAAATTCCAGCGTGAAAATTGTGCAGCCGAAAGCTATTACCGACCGTGAGCAGAATGTTGTGGTTGAATCCCATATGAAGAGCAACCAGGCGACCTGCTCTGAGGTTAAAATTCCTGCTATTTTTGTGCATGACGTTATTGAAATCCAGCCATTGCTGGATAAAGTTAACAACATTCCGGGCATTGGCAAGTTCACTACCAAATGCTCTAAATTCAATGGAGTCAAATTCATTTGCGAGGATTTGAACACATACCGTGCCCTGTTGAGCGCATTAAAAAATGATGACACTGATCTACATACCCATCAGCTTCGCAGCGACCGTGGGTATAGGGTCGTCATTCGCCAGCTACATCACTCGACACCGACCGAGTGGATAAACAACACATTACGCAGCCTCGGCTTTGGTGTCAGGAATGTCAACGTTATTAAGCACAATAGGACTCTCCAGCCTATGAACATCTTCGCTGTGGAGCTTCAGCCTACTATTGACAACTTTAATGACACGATCCTGTCTCTCACACTGCTGGGAAACCAGCGAGTTGTTGTGGAGAGACAACTGAGAAGACAGGATCCCGCTCAATGTCATCGCTGTCAACTATTTGGACACACTAAAAATTACTGCCGCCGCCCTTTTATCTGCATGAAGTGTGCGGGAGCGCATCCTTCCACGGCCTGCAGTGCGACGAGGATCGCCAATCCTAAGTGCGCCAATTGCGGAGGCAGCCATGTGTCCTGCTACAAAGGTTGCCCCAAATATAAAGAGGCTCGGGCAAAGCTTCTTATCAACAAACTGCGCTCGGAGCTGCCCACCTCCTCATCTGGGAGCGGCGGGCGCAGTGGCGCTAACACACGCTCTGGTCAGCAGCAGCAGCAGCATCAGCAGCATCAGCAGCAGCAGCATCAGCAGCAGCAGCATCAGCAGCAGCAGCATCAGCAGCAGCAGCATCAGCAGCAGCAAAAACGGCAGCACCAACAGCAGCAGCAGCAGCAGCGTCAACATCAGCAGCAGCAGCAGCAGTTAAAACAACAGCAGCAGCAAAAACAGCAGCAGCAGCTAAAACAGCAACAACAGCAGCAGCAGCTAAAACAGCAGCAGCAGCAGCAGCAGCAGCAGCAGCAGCAGCAGCAGCTAAAACAACAACAACAGCAGGATCAGCAGCAAACTTCGCCACGGCCTCAATGTGGCCCGGTGGATAATGCACCACGGCTACTTGCAGTTGAGGCAGGTCTAAATAGACTGCTGTTAATGGAACGCAAGGTAGATGCCCTTGTTAACCTGGTGCAAGCCTTTCTGTCCACTAAAGGGAGTGACCTTAGTTCGCTCATACAAGGACATAAAGCTAATTAAATAAAAAATACAGACACCTCAAATTAATACAGCACAACAAGCTATCACAATTTCTACAATTTTTATTACAATATAAACTTCATTATAAATTATAAAATCACAATATAAAAATTACATACTATAAACTACATAATACAACTATAAAACTACAACATAATTATAAAGAATATAAATATAATTATAACATATTAAAATATTAAAATACTAAAACATTAAAATAATATCCAGCGCGATTTCTGCCGCCTGCCGTTAACACTGCGAACTCTCGCCAATATTTGTTGAGGTGTCTGCATATTACTTGCAGTGGCTTCGCTGCTGCCTCCCAACGCTAAAACAAAATTAAATAAATTAAACAAACACGCTACTATGCTATATGGGGACAATTAATGCCCCACTACTTACCGACGACTCCTGTATGATGCGGCGCTGCGGACTGCTCCAGATGCACTCCTGCTATTTTTGGATTTCTGGTGCTCCGTCCCTGCATCGTGATACGTTCGTCTGGTACTCCTGCTATTAAAACAAAATGCATGTTATTAGCTTTTGTTTATCTACAAAACACAAACTGCACTTACCTGTTCATCCATGGCTGACTCCTGATGCGGCTCTTCACGTCGAGGGAGGCTCTTCTTTGTGTCCTTCTCTGATGTTGGCCTGCTTGTCCGGGGGAGCCTGTAAAGATTAAGCGTATCAAGTTATTACTTTTTATCATTTTGTACTTTAATTCATTAATTTAATGTTCACTATTCGCAAACATCGTTTGTAAACATCGGCTGGCGTTGCCAGATGGCTGATTTAATCAGCTGTTTTTCTGGCTGCGGCTGGCGCCAACCTTTGTCACAGTGGCTAATTGTACTGTAAAAAATGTTATTTTTAAAATTATTTTATATTTACTTTTTTTTTGTAAAATTTTTTTTCATAAATTCTATTCATATTTGTCTAGTACGTAATGTAAGAACAAATAAAGAAAGGCTTTGCAGGCAACTTTTAGTTGTCTGTGAGCCCTTATTGTGCGAGCATCGCGAGCACCACACTGAAAAATGCAGGCAACTTGTAGTTGTCTAGCCTTATTGTGCGAGCATCAAGAGCACCACACTGAAAAAAAAAACAAAAAAAAAAAAAACCACACTGAAAAAAAAAACCACACTGAAAAAAAAAAAAAGTTAAAAAACTGAAAAAAGTGTAAAAAGTTTAAAAAGTTACAACAACATTTTAGCAACAATTTGCCAAAGTTAAAATGTTTAAACAATAAACATATGCCAAGCAACCAAGCGGCAGCATCATTAATAATAAATAGTTAAAACGGCGCATATAACATCACGCCATTTGTTTTTTCGGCGCAGACAACTCGCTATTAATTAAACAATTAAATCAGTGTTAATCGTTTTCTGTCCTCGTTTTGTGTTTCATTTATACGTGTTAGTGTTCGTCGGCTTTATTGCGGTAAAGCCTTATTTGTGAACTTTGATACGCATGTGCAATGAACTCTTTTCACCAATCGTGCCTGTAGTGTGTATGTGCTGCATACACGCATACTAGAGTGCAACGGTTCTGAACTTGGATAGCATCCACAACGATGGCCAATCAAAACAACTCTAAAGAGAGCGCCATTCCACCGGCACTCGCGCAAGCGCAATTCACTCTCTCGGATCTGCGAGCTCTCTTCTCAGCAGACTCATCACACGATGAGCAAGCAGTGCTGCTTCGCTCTTCGGCAAACTCACCATTTGATGAGCGAGCCGCGTCTGTGCAGTCATCGCTGAGAGCTAATTTCAACTCGCAATCTGTGGAGAGACTTGCAGCCAATGCAGCTACCACCGTTGTGCCCGCCAGCTCGGACACCGACGTCGATATTATGTTTGCTACAACAACTATAAATGCATCAACGTATGAGTCGACACAGCTCAACTTCTCCGAAATGCTGACCGATTTTTGTGGGAAAACGGACAGCACGCTGGAGCCTACTACTACAGCCCAGATGCTACAACAAGCTGCAGAAAAGTCGCTGACTGTCTGCCCTACTCCACGCACTGTAAGTGAACAACCCAAAGCTACTTATGCACAACAGCTGTTGTCCACTACAAGTGCGTGCTCTCCCAGCACAACAATTGTGCCAAAAACAGCTATTTCACAGGCCGCTAAGCGAAAGACAAAGCCGCCAGTTATTGGAGCAAAAATCAAATGCCCTGCACAGCGGGCTTTTGGCTCTTTAAGCTCCAACCGGCTAAAACGCAGATTCGCTGGATTGCCGAGGAAACCTTCTGCCGGTGCTAATCTTTACAGGCGGAGTGTTCCTTCTGAATCTTCTGAATCTGAATCCTTAGTAAGCTGCCCAAATTCCAGCGTGAAAATTGTGCAGCCGAAAGCTATTACCGACCGTGAGCAGAATGTTGTGGTTGAATCCCATATGAAGAGCAACCAGGCGACCTGCTCTGAGGTTAAAATTCCTGCTATTTTTGTGCACGACGTTATTGAAATCCAGCCATTGCTGGATAAAGCTAACAGCATTCCGGGCATCGGCAAGTTCACTACCAAATGCTCTAACCCCAATGGAGTGAAATTCATTTGCGAGGATTTGAACACATACCGTGCCCTGTTGAGCGCATTAAAAAATGATGACACTGATCTACATACCCATCAGCTTCGCAGCGACCGTGGGTATAGGGTCGTCATTCGTCAGCTACATCACTCGACACCGACCGAGTGGATTAACAACAAATTACGCAGCCTCGGCTTTGGTGTCAGGAATGTCAACGTTATTAAGCACAATAGGACTCTCCAGCCTATGAACATCTTCGCTGTGGAGCTTCAGCCTACTATTGACAACTTTAATGACACGATCCTGTCTCTCACACTGCTGGGAAACCAGCGAGTTGTTGTGGAGAGACAACTGAGAAGACAGGATCCCGCTCAATGTCATCGCTGTCAACTATTTGGACACACTAAAAATTACTGCCGCCGCCCTTTTATCTGCATGAAGTGTGCGGGAGCGCATCCTTCCACGGCCTGCAGTGCGACGAGGATCGCCAATCCTAAGTGCGCCAATTGCGGAGGCAGCCATGTGTCCTGCTACAAAGGTTGCCCCAAATATAAAGAGGCTCGGGCAAAGCTTCTTATCAACAAACTGCGCTCGGAGCTACCCACCTCCTCATCTGGGAGCGGCGGGCGCAGTGGTGCTAACACACGCTCTGGCCAGCAGCAGCAGCAGCAGCAGCAGCAGCAGCGGCAGCGGCAGCATCAGCTGCAGCAAAAACAGCAGCACCAACAGCAGCAGCAGCAGCAGCGTCAACATCAGCAGCAGCAGCAGCAGCAGTTAAAACAGCATCAGCAGCAGCTAAAACAGCAGCAGCAACAGCAGCAGCAGCTAAAACTGCAGCAGCAACAGCAGCATCAGCAGCAGCTAAAACAGCAGCAGCAACAGCAGCAGCAGCAGCAGCATCAGCAGCAGCAGCAGCAGCATCAGCAGCTAATACAACAACAACAGCAGGATCAGCAGCAAACTTCGCCACGGCTTCAATGTGGACCGGTGGATAATGTACCACGGCTGCTAGCAGTTGAGGCAAGCCTAAATAAACTGCTGTTAATGGAACGCAAGGTAGATGCCCTTGTTAACCTGGTGCAAGCCTTTCTGTCCACTAAAGGGAGTGACCTTAGTTCGCTCATACAAGGACATAAAGCTAATTAAATAAAAATACAGACACCTCAAATTAATACAGCACAACAAGCTATCACAATTTCTACAATTTTATTACAATATAAACTTCATTATAAATTATAAAATCACAATATAAAAATTACATACTATAAACTACATAATACAACTATAAAACTACAACATAATTATAAAGAATATAAATATAATTATAACATATTAAAATATTAAAATACTAAAACATTAAAATAATATCCAGCGCGATTTCTGCCGCCTGCCGTTAACACTGCGAACTCTCGCTAATATTTATTGAGGTGTCTGCCTATTACCTGCAGTGGCTTCGCTGCTGCCTCCCAACGCTAAAACAAAATTAAATAAATTAAACAAACACGTTACTATGCTGTATGGGGACAATCAATGCCTCACTACTTACCGACGACTCCTGTATGGAACGGCGCTGCGGACTGCTCCAGCTACACTCCTGCGATTTTGGATTTCTGGTGCTCCGTCCCTGCATCGTGCTGCGTTCGTCTGGTACTCCTGCTATAAAAACAAAATGCTTGTTATGGGCTTTTTTGTTCAACTACAAAACACAAACTACACTTACCTGTTCATCCATGGCTGACTCCTGATGCGGCTCTTCACGTCGAGGGAGGCTCTCCTTTGTGTCCTTCTTTGTTGTTGGCCTGTTGTCCGGGGGAGCCTGTAAAGATTAAGCGTATCAAGTTATTACTTTTTATCATTTTGTACTTTAATTCATTAATTTAATGTTCACTATTCGCAAACATCGTTTGTAAACATCGGCTGGCGTTGCCAGATGGCTGATTTAATCAGCTGTTTTTCTGGCTGCGGCTGGCGCCAATCTTTGTCACAGTGGCTAATTGTACTGTAAAAAATGTTATTTTTAAAATTATTTTATATTTACTTTTTTTTTGTAAAATTTTTTTTCATAAATTCTATTCATATTTGTCTAGTACGTAATGTAAGAACAAATAAAGAAAGGCTTTGCAGGCAACTTTTAGTTGTCTGTGAGCCCTTATTGTGCGAGCATCGCGAGCACCACACTAAAAAAAAAAAAAACTTTTTTTTTGTAAAATTTTTTTTCATAAATTCTTTTCATATTTGTCTAGTACGTAATGTAAGAACAAATAAAGAAAGGCTTTGCAGGCAACTTTTAGTTGTCTGTGAGCCCTTATTGTGCGAGCATCGCGAGCACCACACTGAAAAAAAAAACCACACTGAAAAAAACCACACGTGAGAAAAAAAAAAAAAAAAAAAAAAAAAAAAACCACACTGAAAAAACCACACTGAAAAAAACTAAAAAAAAAAGTTAAAAAACTGAAAAAAGTGTAAAAAGTTTAAAAAGTTACAACAACATTTTAGCAACAATTTGCCAAAGTTAAAATGTTTAAACAATAAACATATGCCAAGCAACCAAGCGGCAGCATCATTAATAATAAATAGTTAAAACGGCGCATATAACATCACGCCATTTGTTTTTTCGGCGCAGACAACTCGCTATTAATTAAACAATTAAATCAGTGTTAATCGTTTTCTGTCCTCGTTTTGTGTTTCATTTATACGTGTTAGTGTTCGTCGGCTTTATTGCGGTAAAGCCTTATTTGTGAACTTTGATACGCATGTGCAATGAACTCTTTTCACCAATCGTGCCTGTAGTGTGTATGTGCTGCATACACGCATACTAGAGTGCAACGGTTCTGAACTTGGATAGCATCCACAACGATGGCCAATCAAAACAACTCTAAAGAGAGCGCCATTCCACCGGCACTCGCGCAAGCGCAATTCACTCTCTCGGATCTGCGAGCTCTCTTCTCAGCAGACTCATCACACGATGAGCAAGCAGTGCTGCTTCGCTCTTCGGCAAACTCACCATTTGATGAGCGAGCCGCGTCTGTGCAGTCATCGCTGAGAGCTAATTTCAACTCGCAATCTGTGGAGAGACTTGCAGCCAATGCAGCTACCACCGTTGTGCCCGCCAGCTCGGACACCGACGTCGATATTATGTTTGCTACAACAACTATAAATGCATCAACGTATGAGTCGACACAGCTCAACTTCTCCGAAATGCTGACCGATTTTTGTGGGAAAACGGACAGCACGCTGGAGCCTACTACTACAGCCCAGATGCTACAACAAGCTGCAGAAAAGTCGCTGACTGTCTGCCCTACTCCACGCACTGTAAGTGAACAACCCAAAGCTACTTATGCACAACAGCTGTTGTCCACTACAAGTGCGTGCTCTCCCAGCACAACAATTGTGCCAAAAACAGCTATTTCACAGGCCGCTAAGCGAAAAACAAAGCCGCCAGTTATTGGAGCAAAAATCAAATGCCCTGCACAGCGGGCTTTTGGCTCTTTAAGCTCCAACCGGCTAAAACGCAGATTCGCTGGATTGCTGAGGAAACCTTCTGCCGGTGTTAATCTTTACAGGCGGAGTGTTCCTTCTGAATCTTCTGAATCTGAATCCTTAGTAAGCTGCCCAAATTCCAGCGTGAAAATTGTGCAGCCGAAAGCTATTACCGACCGTGAGCAGAATGTTGTGGTTGAATCCCATATGAAGAGCAACCAGGCGACCTGCTCTGAGGTTAAAATTCCTGCTATTTTTGTGCATGACGTTATTGAAATCCAGCCATTGCTGGATAAAGTTAACAACATTCCGGGCATCGGCAAGTTCACTACCAAATGCTCTAAATTCAATGGAGTCAAATTCATTTGTGAGGATTTGAACACATACCGTGCCCTGTTGAGCGCATTAAAAAATGATGACACTGATCTACATACCCATCAGCTTCGCAGCGACCGTGGGTATAGGGTCGTCATTCGCCAGCTACATCACTCGACACCGACCGAGTGGATAAACAACACATTACGCAGCCTCGGCTTTGGTGTCAGGAATGTCAACGTTATTAAGCACAATAGGACTCTCCAGCCTATGAACATCTTCGCCGTGGAGCTTCAGCCTACTATTGACAACTTTAATGACACGATCCTGTCTCTCACACTGCTGGGAAACCAGCGAGTTGTTGTGGAGAGACAACTGAGAAGACAGGATCCCGCTCAATGTCATCGCTGTCAACTATTTGGACACACAAAAAATTACTGCCGCCGCCCTTTTATCTGCATGAAGTGTGCGGGAGCGCATCCTTCCACGGCCTGCAGCGCGACGAGGATCGCCAATCCTAAGTGCGCCAATTGCGGAGGCAGCCATGTGTCCTGCTACAAAGGTTGCCCTAAATATAAGGAGGCTCGGGCAAAGCTTCTCTACAACAAACTGCGCTCGGAGCTGCCCAGCTCCTCATCTGGGAGCGGCGGGCTCTGGTCAGCAGCAGCAGCAGCAGCAGCAGCGTCAGCATCAGCAGCAGCAAAAACGGCAGCACCAACAGCAGCAGCGTCAACATCAGCAGCAGCAGCAGCAGCAGTTAAAACAGCAGCAGCATCAGCAGCAGCAAAAACAGCAGCAGCAACAGCAGCAGCAGCTAAAACAGCAGCAGCAGCAGCAGCATCAGCAGCAGCAAAAACAGCAGCAGCAACAGCAGCAGCAGCAGCAGCATCAGCAGCAGCAGCAGCAGCAGCTAAAACAACAACAACAGCAGGACCAGCAGCAAACTTCGCCACGGCTTCAATGTGGACCGGTGGATAATGCACCACGGCCACTAGCAGTTGAGGCAAGCCTAAATAGACTGCTGTTAATGGAACGTAAGGTTGATGCCCTTGTTAATCTGGTGCACGCCCTTGTGTCCACTAATGGGAATGACCTCAGTTCCCTCATACAAGGACATAAAGCTAATTAAAATAAAAATACAGACACCTCAAACATTAATTCAGCACAACAAGCTATCACAATTTCTACAATTTTATTACAATATAAACTTCATTATAAATTATTAAATCACAATATAAAAATTACATATTATAAACTACATAATACAACTATAAAACTACAACATAATTATAAAGAATATAAATATAATTATAACATATTAAAATATTTAAATACTAAATTATTAAAATAATATCCAGCGCGACTTCTGCCGCCTGCCGTTAACACAGCGCACTCCTGCTAAAGTTGATTGAGGTGTCTGCCTATTACCTGCAGTGGCTTTGCTGCTGCCTCCCAACGCTAAAACAAAATTAAATAAATTAAACAAACACGTTACTATGATGTATGGGGACAATTAATGCCTCACTACTTACCGACGACTCCTGTATGATGCGGCGCTGCGGACTGCTCCAGATGCACTCCTGCTATTTTTGGATCTCTGGTGCTCCGTCCCTGCATCGTGATACGTTCGTCTGGTACTCCTGCTATTAAAACAAAATGCTTGTTATTAGCTTTTGTTTATCTACAAAACACAAACTGCACTTACCTGTTCATCCATGGCTGACTCCTGATGCGGCTCTTCACGTCGAGGGAGGCTCTCCTTTGTATCCTTCTTTGATGTTGCCTTGTCCGGGGGAGCCTGCAAAGATTAAGCGTATCATAGTTAATACTTTTATCATTATATATTCTATTTTAATAACTTAAATGTTTCGCTAATTGCAAACATCGTTTGTAAACATCGGCTGGCGTTGCCAGATGGCTTATTTAAACAGCTGTTTTTCTGGCTGCGGCCGGCGCCAACCTTTGTCACAGTGGCTAATTGTACTGTAAAAAATGTTATTTTTCAAAATTATTTTATATTTACTTTTTTTTTGTAAAATTTTTTTTTCATAAATTCTTTTCATATTTGTCTAGTACGTAATGTAAGAACAAATAAAGAAAGGCTTTGCAGGCAACTTTTAGTTGTCTGTGAGCCCTTATTGTGCGAGCATCGCGAGCACCACACTGAAAAAACAGCGGGCTTTTGGCTCTTTAAGCTCCAACCGGCTAAAACGCAGATTCGCTGGATTGCCGAGGAAACCTTCTGCCGGTGCTAATCTTTACAGGCGGAGTGTTCCTTCTGAATCTTCTGAATCTGAATCCTTAGTAAGCTGCCCAAATTCCAGCGTGAAAATTGTGCAGCCGAAAGCTATTACCGACCGTGAGCAGAATGTTGTGGTTGAATCCCATATGAAGAGCAACCAGGCGACCTGCTCTGAGGTTAAAATTCCTGCTATTTTTGTGCATGACGTTATTGAAATCCAGCCATTGCTGGATAAAGTTAACAACATTCCGGGCATTGGCAAGTTCACTACCAAATGCTCTAAATTCAATGGAGTCAAATTCATTTGCGAGGATTTGAACACATACCGTGCCCTGTTGAGCGCATTAAAAAATGATGACACTGATCTACATACCCATCAGCTTCGCAGCGACCGTGGGTATAGGGTCGTCATTCGCCAGCTACATCACTCGACACCGACCGAGTGGATTAACAACAAATTACGCAGCCTCGGCTTTGGTGTCAGGAATGTCAACGTTATTAAGCACAATAGGACTCTCCAGCCTATGAACATCTTCGCTGTGGAGCTTCAGCCTACTATTGACAACTTTAATGACACGATCCTGTCTCTCACACTGCTGGGAAACCAGCGAGTTGTTGTGGAGAGACAACTGAGAAGACAGGATCCCGCTCAATGTCATCGCTGTCAACTATTTGGACACACTAAAAATTACTGCCGCCGCCCTTTTATCTGCATGAAGTGTGCGGGAGCGCATCCTTCCACGGCCTGCAGTGCGACGAGGATCGCCAATCCTAAGTGCGCCAATTGCGGAGGCAGCCATGTGTCCTGCTACAAAGGTTGCCCCAAATATAAAGAGGCTCGGGCAAAGCTTCTTATCA